CCCATTGACATACCGCTTATCTGAACGTAATGGCAATTATTATACTCAAAGTCATTAAGTTCAAGGAAGAGCTTTAATAGCTAATGCAGGGCTTCTTTATCAATAGGTTTCTCGAAGCGAGAATCCTCGTATGCCTTAAGCACTGCAGCTATTCCATCGGCATGCGACATGTTAGTATAACGAGAGGTGACGTTGAGTGTTACGAAAATCGCAATTTGGACAATGTTAAGATTTAATATGTCCGAAGAAAATTATTGGTGTCCTTGACAAATGATGGAAATGTCTCGCGAATGTGTTTAATGATGAAATAAACATAGCGCGACAAGTTCTTGGTGGTAGCGTTTACACCGGAGATGATTGGATGGCCCGGATTACCTTGCTTGTGAATCTTTGAGAGTACGTAAAATGTGCCGGCAACAGGATTGAGTGGAATAAGTGACCGAACAATTTTAAAAACGATAGTCTTTCTTGGGGACCTTCGGTGCTAAAATTCTGATCTGTGTGTTTAAACAGTCTGTCTGTCTGTCTGTACGTTTGTCTGTTTGACCACCCGCAACGAAACCGAGTACTTTAAATGGCACCAGATGATACCCCGAAGGGCCGACCGCATCCGCAGCGCTCACCAATGCTGCTCAAGATTCAACGTTCATACTTTTGCGATTGTCAATTCAAAAGCAATTCTTGCGCATACCTGAGGTATTATACCAACACCTATATATTCTTTCTGTGCACCTTTTACTAGAAAAGGCATACATAAGCAAATCTAAGGACCGTAGCGTTTATCATGCTGCCCTGACCATGCAACGCTTGCACGCAAAGGCAAGAGTTTCCAAATCTTATGGCACCTACCCGCCACCTTGTGTTCTATACCTTATCACCTCTGAGAAGGGCGCGCATGCCCGTCTCAGAGCTATGCGCTTCGTTTTCCAAGATGACTGCCACATAGTGCTCATGTCTGACGTGTGACTGACTTGATGCGTTCGTTCGCTTCTGCTGCACGCTCGAGACACTCTAAAACAGTGCCTCCAGAATACAATTCACCAATTTTCTTGCGCAGAACATCAAATAGACGTTTTGTTCACTCTCTGCAGACGCAGGACTATCGTCTTTCGACGACATTTGCAGATTAACATGCAGATACTGGGCCAATTTTTTTATTTTAGTTTTTTTTTCTCTTGATAAAGTCATAAGCTCATCTTGCAAGATTGACTTAAAACTTTCTGTCGGGTCGGTCAGGAGGGCTTTTTAAAAACTGTTGTCTGAGAGTGGTCAGGTAGCTGCCGCTATGTAATCCTTTTTATCAGGAATGACGACTGCTCCTTACTTATCGACAAGTTCGATGACAATGCCAGGGCTTCTGGTTAGCTCTTAAAGCGCTGTGTTCTTCCTTTTTTGTCAAGTTTTGATGGTAAGGAATATGAGTCTTGTAGGCATCAAAAACGTCACATTGTACAGCAATGATGTACATGTCGAGGCATTGATTACAGGGAGGGGGGGAGGTTCACCTGTTGTGCGAGAGGATTAGTAATACGCTATTAGAGGAAGTCGCATGGTCTTTAAAGTATTTTTTAAAGCGCACTTTACCCGCAAAGTTGTCAAAATCTTTTAAATGCTACAAATCACTAATTCCACCTGAAAACATTCTTTTGGAAAAAATTAGGGCCCTTATACTTGGATAGGACTTTCATTCTCATCACGATCGTGAAATTCGCTAATCGTATCTTCGTATCTCATCTATAAGTTCAACACCCTGTCACCAGGCATGAACAAAAGGACAGGCACACTTTCTAGCGTGCCACTAAGCATTATCAACCTTAACCCACGACCCATGGCGTCATCGGTTAAACTCCTTAGATATCGTCCCTATTACCTCTTTTATTGTGTATATTTATTTATCCAAGCTTTACAGTTGTTTGCATTGATTAATCGCCACCGTGACCATGAATATGGATGCAAGAGTGCATTTGAACGCGCAAGTGCCAATCCATGTCGTGTGGAGCTAAAAAAATTGTTTGATTCCAGATGATTGTAAACGTGAGAAGCAATGATATGCTCAAGTAAATTACAGCTCATTGACGTTAACGAAATGGAACGATAATTTTCAACTTGATCTTTAGACTCTTCAAATACAAGAATAACTTATGTAATTTTCCAGTTCATGGGAAGCTGACCAGCAGACAAGGACTGTTTGAAAATGTGAAATAATATTTTGAAGGACGAGAAAATCGTAATTTTTAGTATCTTTGAATTGATACTATGAAGATCACTGGAGGCAAAATCTTTAAAGTTCTAAATTATATTTGATGATACCCTCAATATTAATAGGTTCTGCAGCGATAAAAAGGTAGTCAAGTTCTAGAATTTCTATTCAGAAATTCTATAATGATCTTCTCATGTGAAAATAGAAAAAACTTATTTATTGCACTTGCACACTGATCTCTTGGGAGAATAACTGATTTTCGTCGTTCAAGGTATGATTTGAACCAGCAGAAACTGGTGATAATTGCTGCCAAACTTTTCTGGGATTTCATTTTATTAATAAAGGCAGGTTGCGTTTAAAGTATCTATTTTTTGCAGTGATTAACGCAGAAGTGTACCTTTTAAGCCATTCTTCGTTTATCTTCCAAGCAGAGGCTCTGGGAGCTTGTGCCGTGGTCCGATGCAGCCGTTTTTTTTTAATTTCTTAAGGTTCGCAAACGTTTGTTAAACGATGGGTTCATCTTGTCATTAGATATAGAGACTTTAGGCACGTGTTTGCCTAATAATCAAGTAATAATATTTCTAAACAATCACCAGTTTTCATTCAGAGTAGGACCTAACGATGAGGGCAAGAGAGTGCACTTGTACAATTCTTCAGAGTCCGAATTCATACTCCATAATTGGCCTTACTGTCGTCTTTAATCACTTTTTTTACTTTTACCTGACACTTTGTGAGGAGTGTTTATCATTGTTTTAGCCAGCCTATGATCACTGAACCCTTAAAGGTATGAGCTTTCACCTATACTATCGGGATTCGTGGTAAGCGCTGAATCTAGAGTATTATACTCCGTGTTGTTTGTTAATTGCTTGAGTAAAATTAAAATATAGGGCAAAATTCACTGTCAGAAGGCACTTTGGATGTAAATGAGTAATTGTTACGGTCAATTTGTGGCAAGTTGAAATCCCCAAAGAGGTAGACATTAGGGCGGCATCTCTCAGTAGTCTACAAAATTATACACATATAAAAATCAGATTATTGATTCATTCTAAGATTAAATTGGTTTCTTAATTTAAATATACATATGCATTAGATCAAATACCACACTTTATTAGGTTATCGGTAATCTTTTTATTATATCTCCTATATTCTAAATCTGAACAATAATTTTTAAAACCACTCGATTCTTGACCAATTCCCCATAGTGGGTAGGTGCCACGATGAATAGGTGAACAAAAACAAAGCTAAAGTGGAGCTCCTACGAAGATAATCTATAAATTACTGTTATGAGTCTAGCGGACGGTAATATATGCCTACCAACATTTTACGGCCAAGGCTATCATGAAATCTTAAGTCGAGTCACGCGCAGTTGTCCGCCCCCGCCGCGGTCTGCAAACACATCGCGCGAAATTGCTATGACACAGTAGGGCTTGAACCTTGGTTCCACGGGTGCTAGCCCAGCGTTCTACCTTATAGTTACGCCGGTGCTTGTAACTTGTTGTCTTAGGCAGGCTTAATCTAACACCAATTACACAGTGGGGCTCGAACTAGGGTGTTCTGGGTGCCAGCCCAGTACTCTACCACTGAGCTACACCGGTGATTGCGACTTTATGTCCAACGTGCCTTAGGCAGGCTTGATGTTGGGAAAGCAATCGCGTTAATACGACTTATAAAGCGTTTTAAAAGAGCGAAAGAACTACCAGTCGTCGCACTATGCGAATAGCCTAACGAGTGGGCCATTCAATGCTCCAACCCATCACAAAAGCTTGTTCTTGTTGCCCTATTAACTGCGGTGCATACGCCCTTCAGCCATAATTTCTCATCGTCATCAGCCACTGCATGAACAATTGGCACAAAATTCCTTGCAACTGTTTTATCGCATATCATGCTTCTTAGAATAATGACGAAAGATAGCGTGGCAAATGCCGGCCTACTACCCAAATAAATTTAATAATGACCTAGTGGGTATCAAGCAAGTGTGCTTGCAGAAGTTACGCAATGAGTCTTTCAAAAAGGCTCTGAAACACCACTCCTCTAGCTTACGCTGGGACTGTGCTGCGCCTTCAGCTTAGGCCCGATGTTTTTTTTTTTTTTTGTAGAATTAGAGCACGTCATCCAGACTCGAACTTTGAATTTGTCTCGTAAAAAAGTAGGTATCGATTCTTTATAGCAAAAAACACTTCCTCCACGTTTGCTTTGATGATCACACCGAAATACATTATAAATTGTACTTCCTTATCTTTCGCGTATTCATGCTCGGCACACTCGAGACTGCCAACCGATATTCAACACACAATTTGAAAATTCTTTTAAAAGGTCAGAAGGTTCATCGCTTTTACCATTGCACTTTTTTCCGTCAAGGCGATGCTGCTACCTTGAAGAGCACAAGTGAACTTGCCGAAAAAATTTATCCAGTGGCATTCTCTGCTCATCTATTTCTTAACGCTTCACGCCTTTATCTTGTCTTGAACTACTGCTTTGTTTGTTACTCTAGTTTATGTAGCAACTATATATGCGCCGTTAGAATAGGCGATGTGACCTGCTCGGAGTTGTTGACAATGTTTGCATTAGTTCAGATATTCTTAGTTCAGTGTTTGCTTTTTATGGCAACATTTCCCTTGGCGAATTAAAAGTGTTTTGTAGATTATCACTTGTACATCATATGTCCTTTCTTTATTATGGAGCAAAGAATTTAAAAAAATTTTGCTTGGACCGGTAGTTTTGTCTTATCAAGAAATTGGCCATTGTAAGTTTATATATTTTGCAATACGCAGACGTCACGTCTTTACTTTCTTCTCCACAGAAAAACAAGCGGCCGTGGCTTCTACAGAAACAAAACAAGTGGCTGTGGCTCAAACAACAACAAAACATGCGGCCTTGACTCCAATAACTGCGAATCCATTCACGGTAAGAATACAACTTTCTCGGGCCGCAGATCACTTATACCTGAAGCACTACAGCAGTCTCATATGGAACTTCACTCACATTAGCTATAACACAGATATCTTTATAGCAATATAGTGAACAGACAGAGGGTTAGATCATGGCCACGACACACTGATGTATCCGGTTATTTGGTAGCAAAAATTGAAGGACGTTAGAGCTTCAAACTCAAGTGTAAAATGCTATGGGCGTAATGATGCCCTATGCGCAATGCGTTCTTAACTGCTTGCCTCACTTATTCTTGTTACATGCCTCAAACGTGCCGTAAGATAATGAATTATTGTGCGTATAACACGGAAAGTTTCAAGTGATACTAAAATGACAAGTGCAAGTACAGTGAATAAGTGCCCATTGGGCCACGATTTTTTCTTTTGAGAATCTGTGACGGACCCACTGCGCTTACGTAAGCAAACACGCGAATCTACACAAATTCTCCATCACTTGATGTTGTTGCGGCTGGTGAAGTCTTGATGAATAAATATGTCGAAGGGCTTTGAAATGATGAGTCTTTAAAACAGCCTCTCCGTGCATTTCACATGTTTTGACGCCTCGTGATATTCTGCCCTTCTGCCAAGCGATCTTAAATACCTAAATCCTTCCGCTACATCAGACTGTTTTTTTTTTTTTTTTCGAAGAGACTTCAGAAATTTGCTTAGCTTTGTGATAAGACAGCTGTTTGCCACGCAGCCGGTTTGTGTGAGCTTCTCACTCGAACGTCAGATTGTATTTATTCATTTCATTGGTTTACAATATCCAAGGTATTCATATAGTGCTCCTTTTTTTCTCAAGCAGCCTAAACCAGTAGCGCACAGCTGTCGTAAAGTGCCTGCTTGCCATGCAGACACCCAGGGCTTCATTCTTACTCAAGCCTTACATTTTATAATACATAATGACATACTTTGGCCGCAAGCATCACAAACACAGAGTAAAGGAACACACAACTACAAGCACAAGTGGCCCTTCCAAATAAATAGACTGAGCGCAAACCCAGACTCAAGTAACAACATACAGACATGCACAGTCTTCACACACCCATAGGTTATCCAGCTATCCAGCAATCTTTTCTCTGACACGTACATCGTAACCGACGTGCTGCTGATGCACCTTTCTTTTTTTTTAATGTAATAGGCTTCCACCAACCCACGAGCAGTGTTATACCTGCTTCTATCAATGATCCTAAACTCTTTAAAACGTAGTACACATGCACAGGCTTTGCGATGCATAGGCAATTGCGCCAAGCCATTCTTCATTAGATTTAATTCATGCTCCCTAACCTGTCCATTAATACAGCGCCTGGTGGTCCCGATGTAGGAGTTGCCACTAGAAGAGGTAGTATCATAAACCATGCCTTTTGCACGTTTTTCATACTTCGTGTCATGCTTCTTGCCGCATCCCTGGTGGTTCGCGTCCTCTCGAGCAGTTCTCGGGCACAGCTGAGCTATGGCACGTCGCACGTACATATGACACGACGTACGGGACATGAGCCTAAGGTGTGGTTTATGAAATTTCTCTTTTTAGTGGCAACTCGTACATCGGGAGCTCCGGGCGCTGTATTAAGGAACGAGCTAGGGCACAAGCATTGAATCTAATAAAGTTTGGCTTGTGGCTTTGTCTGTGTATTGCAAAGCCTGCAGGCGTATACCATGTTTTAAATAGTTTAAGATTCCAGTTAACGGTGGGTATAAATCTGTGCGTGAGTTGATGAAAGCTTACTAAAGTTAAAATAAAAGAGAAAGGTACATCGGCGACACGTCAGTGACGTTGTCCGTATACGTGAAGAGATTGTTCGATAGCTGCAGAGCGTAAAGCTATGTTAAGACTGCACATGTCTGTACGTTGTTACTTAAGTCATGTTTTGCACTCAGTGTACCTTATTTAGAAGTTCCATTCATGCCTGTCGTTGTGTGATTGATCAATATGTGGGGTTTGACTCCCGAAACCACCATATGATTTTGAGAGACGCCGTAGTTGAGGGCTTCAGAAATTTCGACCGCCTGGGGTTCCTGAACGTGTGCCCAAATCTGAGTACATGGGCCTACAGAATTCTGGCCTCCATCAAAAATGCAGCCTCTGTAGCCAGGATTCGATCTCGCGACCTGCGAGTCAGCAGACGAGTAGACCTTAGTCACTAGACCACCGTGGCATGGCTTGTCGTTGTGTGTTCCTTTACTCTGTATTTGTGATACTTCAGGTCAAAGTATGTCATTAAGCAAGTAGCCGACCTTCAATCTTGTCAAAATTGTATTGCATATTTTATTTGCATATATCTAAATTTTTCGTTTCCAGACAAGATTATTCTATGCTGAAAAAATATTGACATTAGTACTAACGGAAGCAACGAAACTTCTGTGAAACGAGCTCTTTAACCCTATAGACAGTAATGTTGCATGGGAATCCAAGCAATGCTGAGGGTCTCTCGCAAACCACAGAAACATCGTTCGTGTTTTACAAAAACAACACGAACGAGGTTTTGTAGAGTTGTAGTTTTTGCTTAATCATGGATTATGACCAGAACGAATTTTTGCACGGGTTATCAAGAGCCTGAACACAGCTGCCGTCTGCTAAAACAGGAGCATCGTTTCATTTCGATGGAGCCGAAATGCTAGAGGCTTGTGTTCTGTGTGATGTAAGGGTGTGTTAGAGAACACAGAAGGATCCAAATTTTCGGAGTCCTTCACTGTGATGTGCCTCATCATCAGCTCGTGGCTTCGGCATTTATTACATTCAATAAGTACGGTTGCAGCTCCCACCTTCAGCTGCGGTCGCATATGGAAGTTAGACTGGCAAAAATGCTTAACCAACAGGCGTCGCTCGGCGCACGCTGTGCAATGCCGCAGCAATCAGTTTTCGCCACGTCACACGCATAGGCTAACAAAAGCGCTGTTGTGATAACGCAGCATTGTGCATCGTCGTGGCTAAGTGACAGAATACCCGACTGCCGTGCAGCACGTGTGCTTGAGATTCTGGTCAATCTTTGGCATTTTTTTGCATGTGTGTGAGGCATACGGGCTATGAAAAAGTCAGCGTCGAGCAAGTAAGCCATTAAACTTCCCTGTTGTGACCTCGTGACTGTTTTTGCTTTTCTGAGCCCCACCGCGGTGGTCTAGTGGCTAAGGTACTCGGCTGCTGACCCGCAGGTCGCGGGATCGAATCCGGGCTGTGGTGGCTGCATTTCTGATGGAGGCAGAAATGTTGTAGGCCCGTGTACTCAGATTTTAGTGCACGATACAGAACCCCACATGGTTGACATTTCCAGAGCCCTCCACTACGGCGTCTCTCATAATCATATGGTGGTTTTGGGACGTTAAACCCCGAATATTAATCAATTTTCGCTTTTCTGAAACGATGTTTTGCGCCCATTGTTATCACTTACTTGGGTAGTGTACAATAAAAGCTCTGTACATCGCAGGAAGGCGCCTGGCCGTTGTCTTTTCTTTATGCGTAGTTGCGATTCAAGATATAAACACCTCAAGCTTCGTCCTGCGAGGTGAAGTAGACCAGCCTGGTATTTTTGGGCGATTTCTTTCATGCCGAAAGATCACTAAAAGAATGTATAGAGAAAGCTGTGTGCTGTGGATCAAAGTTCTCCAAGGCTTCCCGCACGTCGTATCAGTCTTACCCTACGGCAAGGGAAACATTCTTCTATAGTCTCCGTGGTAAATTTTCCTCATTGGTGCAGGCAACCAACCCCAGTATATAATTGCTGTATCCCCACGATCGATCACCTGCGCAAAAAAGAAATGTACTACAATCAAGACCGTGGGTGGGTCCTACATTAGGCAGCTTTAGAACGCTCTACGTAAAGATTTCCGTTGGCGTTTGTTACTACTGCGCATTCATGTTATGCTAGCTTCTTGCAGACCTCCATTAAGTGATTGAAATAACAGGTGATCGCAATGTATGCTAACCCTCTCATATGTAATTCTAAAGCTTCCTCATGTTTACTTGCCGCATTGAAGTTGCCCGATGCAGCAGAAGTCACTCAACTGAGCTATTCAGGCTTTCCACAGCGTCGCAACTTTGTGGACAATGTGCAGCTGTCGTTCGGGGTTCGCTAAAACATATTGTGTGATGAGAAAAAAAAAGGAAGAGTGTCGTCAGAGGGGCAAGAGAATGTCAAGTGGTTGGCTGGGGAGAGACGGTATAATAAAATGAGGAGTGATTGGTGTGAGCGATTGCAGATTTTGAGTGGCCGACGAAATCTCAGCCGGAGCACTCAACTCTGGTGGAGGGCAGCAGAAGACAATCTACAAATGAACACTTGCACTCTCTATAGAGCGAATGGCAGAGTCATAATGAAATGCGATGCGCGCGTCTCTTTTCCACGAGTGGGCAGGCTGTGCACAGTGATGCTACGCTAGCAAAAAGTGAGCGCCGACGCTCACGCACGCGTCGTTCGTTGGAGCGCCCAAACTTGGCATCATTTCAAGGCACAAGGCACTTGCAACTTCTGGTCGAATATGCGAATTTTCACGGAGAACAAAAAGTTGTTCCTTGAAGCCAATCTCACGAGGGAGCTGCTCCAGATCAGCCAATAGAACGTACAGAGAGCACTCTCAATCTGCCAATGGAATAGACTTGCTCCGCATGCAGCAGAAGAAACTATTACCGGAAGCACTTTGAATCTGCCATTGAATGACACCATGAAATAAACCAAGTTTTTGTTGAGGCGTGAACGCAGTCTGAAGCAATGGCCTGTTCACTCGCACTTGCAGAGCGGAAAATTTTTGTTCCTTATTTTTCGAGGGAGTGAGCTCATGATAAAGAAAAAAAGGGCTATGACCTACAAATGAGAAAGGCACTGATCTGTGAAGCGGTGCCAATAGCAAAGAGGATATGACAGCGAGGTTTACAGGCCCGCGATGAGCAGAACAGACGAGATTGTATGGTCAAAGATGGCCAGTGCATCACCGTGGACTGAGCTATTATCTAGCAACCACCGCAGGAGGCAGCGCCACTCGCTG